TGTTGATTATTATTTAACTTTTTCAAATATTTTCAATGGCTTGAATAAAATTTTTACCAAAATTCAGCAAAATGAGCAAAAAAGTTTTGACCTAACTTATTGAATGCTTCTTCTTAGTCGATCGAGAATATTATGCTTTTGAGATTCTTTTGGTTGGTGTATTTCTCTTGTAAGAAATATTTGAGAAGATATTTTTACCTAAAAATGAGCATTTTTGTGATGGCTTTAGGATAATATGTAACACTTTTGCTGTTTACTAAAGTCTTATGATTTTATAATCTGCACAAAGAAGTGATATAGGACTCCAATTTTTCTTCGACGATAAATCCCCTTCTTTGGGTAAGAGGCTGATTATTGTTGTCTTTTATGACCAAAGTATTTCTCTTTATTTTCGTCGAATAAATTTTAATTAACTATATCCGTTAAATCTTGACCCTACATATTTCAGCATTTTGAATAGAATACAGCTAAAATACCATTTATTCCTGAGGTTCTGTCTGTATTTAGTGACTTTGCAACATTAAGTAGTTCCTCGCATGAAAACAGTTTGTTAAGTTAAAGGTTTTGCTTGCTATTTAGATTATGTTTATTACATAATCTAAATAGCAAACATTACTTTGTATGTTAATTGCATTCTTGCAAGTTACCTCGCCTTCTTTTTTTTTTTTTTTTTGTTGTTATTTTTTTCTAGTTGAATTTGTAATTTTGAGGGTTTTTCACCTTTTAATAATTTTGATAATTCTTACATATTTGTCTTGGGATACATAAGCAAAGATTAAGTTTTTTTGTTGGTATTGCAACCTCGCGTTCTTTATTGGTAGCATTATTCCATATTGCACATCCTCCTGTTTTTATGTTCCACTGATTTGTCCATCTTTGAATGGCGTCATATGTGTAGTGTGTTTCCATGGATGCAAACAAAGTATTACTTTACTTCTTTTATTATCATCATTTAGAACATTAACATTTGAGTAAATATTTTTGCCTCCATTTTTAAAATTAGTTTTGTTGGTCTTTTGTTTTTTTTTTGGTTTTATATTTTTATTTTGTTTTTATTTTTTTTATTATTTTTTTTTAAACCTAAAAACAAAGTTTAAATTTAAATTTAGTTTTTAGGTTTAGGGTCATTGTTTGTGCTTTTAATGTTTGATTTCTAGTAATTTTATATTAATTTTGTAACTAAACATTGTTTGTGTTTTTAATGTTTGATTTCTTGCAATTTTATAGACTCTCTGATTATTTTCCGTTTTTTTTTTTTCATGGGGATCTATTAAACCATATTCCAAATTATTTTCGATTGCTATTTTCTATTTTTTCTTTTCTATTTTGTTTTTTTTATTTCTTTTTTGTAATCACATTGCGTTTCCACCTACCTATTTTTATTTGTACTATTTTCTATAAATGTTCTAGTTTCTGTTTCCGTTTCTTTAATTACGTTACTTATAGCAATTGGTTTTATTTTTTGTATTTCTATTAGTTTGTTGTTTTCGTTATTTCTATTATTAATTGACAAATAGATGTAACAAACGAGGATTGCTGCTATATTGATATATATATATATATATATATATATATATATATATATATATATATATATATATATATATATATATATATATATATATATATATATATATATATATATATATATATATATATATATATATATATATATATATATATATATATATATATATATATATATATATATATATATATATATATATATATATATAATATATATATATATATATATATATATATATATATATATATATATATAATGCCTAATGATCATAATAACATACAAACTTTAAATATAAAATTGTTATACATTCCTTGAGATCAAAATAGGGTTTAAAAAAAATTACAATAAAAGCGCTTCATAATTCGCAATTGTCATATATCCAATGTGTGAAATAATTTTCACTCTCTTAATTTTTTTTTATTTCATAGTATCTTGTGATAAATTTCCTAACACTAAACGATTTTAAAACATAACTGCACTTTTAAAAACTTTTAAAACGATCAACTGTGGGACTAGCATCATGATAAATCCGAGCTGTCTCATTTCGACACCCTGTCGCAATATGCTTTGCATTGCCCTACCAAGATAGAAATAAACAAAAAAATCCATTTAAATTATTAGATTTTTTTATAAATGATAAACACACTAATTAGCAATATTATTTAATACACGTAGGAGTTATGGTAGAAGAAAACTCATCGTGCTTCCCACATGAAACTCGAATCAAAAATTTACTTAATTTAGTTAAAAACTTAAGAAAGCCAATAAAAAATGTTTTTATTGCTTTTTTTAAGTAAACGAGTAAAATTCTGTAAACGAGTGAAAGTCTGTATCACCAATATAAGTTTGTTTCAGTTTGAACTCCTAGAAATTTTATACTATCTTGCTTTTTTTGAGTTTTTGATTGTTCGAAACTAAAAAGAATAAAAAATTGCAAGTTTTCGCAAAACTTTTAAATAAAGTTTAAAAGGTCTGCGAAAACTTGCATTTTTCTTTTCATTAATTTTCTACACGTTTTATGATTTTTTTGCCATGTTGTGCTGAAAAAAATTTTTAAAGTAATTTTTGTTTAATTAAGATGTGTTTAATGCTAGGCAACGATCTCTAAACTAAATATAATATAAACTAAATATACACAATCTAATACGGTGTTTATCAGTTAAATGTAATTGTTTGGAAAAGATATTGAGTTTTCTTATTTAACATTTTGATAATTCTTATTATTATGATAATTCAAAAACTATCTTGTTATCCATTATTTTATCTTATATATATATATATATATATATATATATATATATATATATATATATATATATATATATATATATATATATATATATATATATATATATATGTATATATATATATATATATATATATATATATATATATATATATATATATATATATATATATATATATATATAATCTCGTATATATATATATAATCTCGTATATATTCTTATTTTTTTGTCTTCCGGCAAATTTTAAAGTTTAATATATACAAGTTTATAACTGTCAGTATTGTCAAGAAATAATTTGAAAAAATAAAAATAAAAAGCATATGAGAATTTTTCATTATTATAAACAATTTTTGCAGCATGCTTTTGATTTCGATAGAGCAAGGCCAATTTAGATTTATGGGTACTTGCCCATTCAACATTGGCGTATATATAATAGCATTGTATAAGCGAGAAGTACAGAAACTTTAGGATTTTTTAAGACAGTGTAGAGCTAGCTTTGTAGAGAATGACAATGTTTTTTAAGATTTTAGCATTTTAGATCTTTATGTGCACTTTCTATGAGATGTTATCATCTCATAGAAAGCGATTGGTTTTGATTATTGTTTGGATTCTCTCGATTTCTTTATTATCTATTTTTAATAATAATAATATAAGTATAATATAAATACAAAAATTATGCGTTACTAATATAAATAATAAAAAATTAAATTAATAATATTTTAAAAATTAAAAAAAATGTATTAATAATAATTCCAAAATAATCAATTTTTTTTTTTTTTTTTTTTTTTTTTTTTTTACAGACAGAGTTGTTGAGAGAGTTCTTGCGTTCATTTCTTTTTTCTTTTTCATTTTTATCAGGTGTATTTTTCAGTTATATTAACGGGGCTGGATTTTAACACCATTTCCTCCTCTAGCTCCGGTCGAGATTTTTGTGTGTTATATTTTTATGTTGTAAACATTGTAAATCTTATTTTAAATGGCGAAATAAATAAATTAATATATATAAGTAAATGTTGTCGATAGGTAATTATGTAGAATAATTAGAGAAAATAAGGTTTATAATATTCTAGTAAAATTTATATCACTTTTGGTAAGCATTTTTACAGCGTGGTAGCTGTAAATTATATATAAAACAGAATGAAAAACAAGCAAACAACAAGTATGACGTACCGAATTCCCGCAAAAATACTAAAAGTCTTAAATTAGTATAATCCTACATAATTCATAAATACATTTATTATGAAAACATTACGTGGAAACACAATCTGCTAAATTACAAAAGCTAATTAGCATGCTCATTTTTTTATTTTTATTTTTTTATAAAGTTTATTATATTAAGTCTACCATCTTAAGTAAAAAATTTGTTAGCTCTAAACCAATTATTTACAGCCCCCCTCCATTCCTGAAAATGAATTGAAATATTATAATACAGAATATTATATATGTATATTGCAGACGTTTAATTTTTATCATCAGCAATTTACACGTTAATCAAAAACAAACCTTGAATTTGCCCCTCTTAAAAACCAAAATTGAAAAAAATGCACGAAATATTCCTAGTGCAAACTGATTTTCCTATTGAAATATTCATAGTGTAAATCATAGTTGACTATTTGGTTGAATAATTATATAATTACATGTTTCATTCAAATAATTTTGTGGAGGACAAAACGTTTAAGGTAAAAGAATTTACTTTTTGTAAAAAGATAATAAATTTAATTATGCTAAATGCGTTTAAATATTTAAAAAAAAAAGCAAATAACATGGATCCTTAATTTATGATGTCGAAACTATTACTTCGTTTAAAAAGTTTACAAAATATGAAACAAATGTTTGCTTGTTGTTTGTTGATTTAAATTAAAGAAAGTCAAGCTCTATTAAAAATTAATTTTAAAGGAATCTTTTTGAGTGATTCTTTTAAAAAAACATAATACTCAGCGGACACACAACGTCCGCTGAAAGTCTTAGGGACGTCCTACGGATTGGCAACGTCCATAAGACGTCGTATAGACGTTTCACAGACGTCTGTGCCGGATGGGTACACAATCTGATATGCACAAGGATTATGCAATATATAAAAAATATCTAGAAAACTGAAAATACAGAATATTTAATTATAATAATAATTATTAGGTTTACAAACATTTTTATTTTTAACGAGTATTCATGTAGAAACATGAAAATATTTACTGATACAATACTTTATAATATATTATGTAATGAGATAACAAGAAAATATAATTTTTTTATTCTTTTTTAATCACATGATACTATGCTTCTTATATTATGCCGCTGTTTTTCCCACTGTGCAAACTGCTATTAGCTGTTCTCGATGTAGATCTGGAAGACATTTTGCATATTTTCCGTAATAAAAAGTCCTTAAACTCTCGTTTAAGTATAAAATATAAAATTGGGTCTAATAATGAATTTAAGGAAACAAAGCATAAACAAATAAAAAGTAACTGGTCATTTTTATCACAAGAGTTTGAAATAACGCATAGAGCACAAAATGCTATAACCGGCAGCCAACTTATGGAAAATACAAGTACAATACTAAAACATAACAAAACAGAACGTCTTTCCCTTTTAATAAGTTGCTGGCGTACTGTATTCCTACGCCGCGTACTACTGCGAGCAAAAAGTGAGTTCTCCATCGCAGCTCGTAAGAGTTTTTGTTGTTCCGCTCTTGCTATTATTACCTTGTGTTTAAGATAACGATCTGTTGGATTTTCTAAGTATATATCTAAACTATGTCTCTGTTTAGTCAATAGAGAAGGCGTTGCACTACAACTGCTGCCCATAAGAGTGACTTCGGTTTTTGAATCCGAAGCAGTATAATCACTAGTTGACTCCCCTAAATCACCTGGATGCGAAGATATTGAGCATGACTTGATATGCAAGGAATGACGGTGAATTTCATGAGTAAGATATGTGTAAACAACAACATTTATTAGTATAGACGAGCTCGATAAACAAATAAAAACTATCCAATTAATGTAAAAATATCGATGTTTTTTGTAAACAAAACCAAATAGAACTTGAACACCAAGTAATGCAAGACAGAACATCCATCCAAGAGTAAGAATACAGGTCACCCGTGTTTTAGATAAAATTTCACTATAACGAAACGGCTTGCAAATTGCAACAAATCTTTCCAAACTTAAAAAACAAATACTCATCAGCGAGGTTTCTAGAGAAAAGCTAAATATTATGATTGCAAGTCGCTTGGAAAATGCGGAAATGTTATCATTGCTTAGCGTTCCTAAAAAATAAAAACTTCCCAAAGACACTAAAAAATCGGAAACACAAAGCGACACTATAAACGCGTTAATTTTATATCGGTAGACAAACTTTCGAGTCGCCAATAACCACAATGACAACGTGTTTAAACAAAATCCTGCTCCGTTAATACTAGCAAATAGTATAGAAAACCAGGAAGGGAATTCTTTTGAAGCTGGCATTTCAAAGTATTCATACTTTGGCATAACACTTGTAGAGCTAATATTAAATGATTCCATAAATGAATTATCTTTTTAACTCTGATTTTTAAACTATTATTAAGTGTTATTTCTGATTGCGGTTTCCAAACCTGAAAGTAAAAGTATGGTGGTATTATCAATTGTAAACACCAAAAGCAATAAAATTATTTAAATATCTTTTCTTTTTTTTTTTAATTTTGACATACGTTAACAAATGTTGCTCCTGATTAAAGATAAATGTTGACGGTAAACGATAGTTTTCCGAGTTTATCCCAAGTTCATTCCTTTAGTTTTGCTACAAAACAAACTAAAAAATGTGTTTCATTAGTGCAGGAGTGTGCAAAGTTCGATAGCAAATACTTTTTAATAAAAACAACGTAGTTTTCACCGTAGAAAATATATCTAAGGATGCTATTTTTGTGTGAACTGCAATCAATGTTGCCAAAAGCTATTTGAAGACACTCAATATGATTATACATTATTATATTAAATATTACATTATATATTTATCACTGAATGAAACCATTATTTATTCATTTGCATTTGATTCACAGGAAGTTTCCTTTTCACAAACTCTCTTTCAATTCACTCCATCTCATAATTAGTAAACAAATCTAAAAATAAGTTTTACTCAGTTGAGCAATGAATGAATAACTGAACGAAAAGAGAAAAAAGCATAAATGAAGGAAGAGAGAAAAAAAAAGATTCCTTCATAATTTTTGATCATTTTTGTCAGCTCTTTTTGAATAAATACTCACGTTTTACAAATGTATTTGATATTATTATAACAAATGTTATTAACACGGGTGATAAATATACTTGTTTAAAATAATTAAGTTTTGTTTACAAAATGAGTTGTGATTTTCGTGTGATTTACAAAAACAGGGAATAAGTTATTTGTATAAGTTTGTTTGTATTATTATTCATTTATCTGCATATAAGTTATTTATAGACCTATAGAAAATTCAGCCTAGTTTTTTGCCTTTATTATACATTAGCTGTTACCTTCTAATATGTAATATATCATAAACATGTAGTGACATTATTATTTTATACTATTTTTAAGTGCTTAAACGCCCCAGAAAATTTTATTTTGAGTTATAAGAAAATATTATCCAATGATGATATTTACAGTAATATATAATAAATAACAACATTTAACTCAAAGTTAGTGTTAAAGTAACATCGGTTTTTACGTGTGTTTTTAGCAAGGCCGTTCATAACGTAACTTTTGATCAATTATAGCTCCTTTTTTTAGGAAAGTTTTTGTAAAAAAAATTATAAATTATCATTTGACGCAAATATATACGGATATACGGATATCACACAGACTGAATAAATAGACTGAATTACATAGAAAAAAAATAGTTTATATAAGTCTATAGATAAAATAAAATGAATTAAAATTAAAATAATGAAAGTTAATTAATAGTTTTACTATTGCTTATAATACTTTTTATTATTTTTCTTTCTCAAAATTTTGTCTAACTATAATTCTCAACAAAAAAAAAAACAGGTCATTTATTTTCTCTATATAAGATTTATGCAAAAAAAAAAAAATATTATTAAAATCCGTGTATTGCCGTGTATTGCCGTGTATTGCCGTGTATTGCCGTGTATTGCTATGTTTTGGGAACTTGCCGTGTTTAAAGATAATGTTATTTTAAAACTTTAAAAGTAATTAATAATTTATATTATTGTATATATATTTTTTTCTCTCTTTCCTTTCTCTCAAGTACATAATACTATGGTTTTCTCATGATTGAGACCGGCAGGCTATGAAAATTTTATGCTTGGCGCAGGCTTAGTAAAAATAGATATTGTCACTAAAGTGTTTATCGTCGCGCCAATAAACACTATTGTAACACTCGTTTACTATAAAATGCTGTTTCACTTTTTTATATTTAATTAATTTTTTCAACAGTTTATAAATATTGAGACTAATTTAAATTTAATGAATATGTATTCTAATTTTTAATTTTGTTTTTAATTGTCTTTTAATACTGAAAATATTACCATCGCAAAAGATCGCATTTAAAAGTTTAAACAAAGGCAAAAAATTGAAATTTATCTAATGATAAATGTTATCTGTTCCAGAAAAAACTTGCTAAGCGCCTAAATAGCACCTAACAAATAAGTTCTTCTAGCATTGAAATTTGTTAAATTGTAAAACAATCTTTCCACTACACTTTTTAAACAAAAAAAAAATTGAAAAATTATGACGGTGTTACTACATCGTGGTAACACACGGTGTTACCACACTATCAATAAATTAATAAAACCATAAAAGTTTGGTACAAAAACTAAACACTGGTAAACAACATTAATTATTACATCATAAGTCGAATTGATGATAATGCAAAAATTTGCCAAAAACAAAATTAAAAATTAATAACGGCGGTTGCTGCAGCAACTTTATCATACATGCAAACAACAACAGAACCATAAAATGATACTCAAACTTTGGTAAAAATATAACTACAAAATTAGAAACTATAGTCTGCTATAAGCAAATACCATATTATATTATAAAACACGTAATGCGCTTCATAAAACTACAGCATGGCATTAAAAAAAATTTTAGAAATGTTAGAAATTACGTATCTGTTACATATTATTTGATTTGTATTGATTTTGTGCATACTAAAACAATACAGAGGTCTAGGAATAAGTAAAATGTTTTTATTACAAATCTTTATCTTTCATATTTTATCTATATTTTCAAGAAAGAGATTCATTTTAAAAACACATACAATGATTATCAAAATATTTTTGTCTTGTTTTTATTTTACCGACTGGCGATGACAAAATTATGCTGGTGAAAATTCTTTTTTTAAATGATCCGCTTCTAGAAAAAAATAAGTTTTTAAATTTCATCACAATCCATAGGAAAAAAGCAAACAGAAACATATTGATAGGTGCATTATAAACGCAATGGCGGCAAGAGTAACGTCAAGGGAACATGAATAAATTAAGAATATACTAGCGGAAGCAGGTTGTATAATACAAACTCGATAATTTGAAAAATAAACAAACATAATAAAATATTATTAGTGAATAAAAAAAAATTATTTACTAATAATATTTTAATTTGTTTGTTCGTATTTAATATTAATATAAAACAGATTTTATCTGTTGTATATTAATATTAAACTTATTGCCGTTGCCATGTGGTGAGTGTTTGACAGTGACTGGTAGCCATTACACCCAAGTTAATGGCGAGAAATAGTCGCAGCACATTTTATGTTAAAAAATGTGAACAAAAGTGTATGCAAATGTCTAATTAATTTAAACTTCAAATTATATAATAATAAAAATTATATTAAGTTTTATAGTTTTACAAACAATTAAAAATTGCATAGTGGCAATATCTTCTTAACGTTTTTTATAAAACAATGTTAAGGAGATATTGCCACTATGCAGTTTATAAAACGGTATACCGTTTTATAAAGTAATACTATTTTTTGTTTATTAAATAGTGTTAAATATTATAACATATATAAAGATATTATATGCTATAACAATCAAAAGAGAGAGAACTTTAAAGAAAGCTTAAAATTTCTATAAACATCGAAACAGCTGGAGAAATTTGTTGCGCATTTGTCACGATAGAGTTACTTATGTTACCATATTATGCTTAGGTAATTAGTTGTATGCGCGTTTAACACACATTAAAGATTTAAAAACTAACTTTCATTTTTATAGAAAAAAGATTTTACTTACAAACTTTTATTTTCTTTAAAAATTATTAACAGGAGAAGGACCCGCGGAAGCTGCGGATGTTTTGTAAAAAATTTAATAAAAACGTAATAGAAACTTAATAGAAAAAAATTAATAAGCCCGTCCCCGTTTTGTTATATAAAAGTTTACAATTTTATAATGAGAAGTTATAAAGTATTGAACATTAATTATTGACTCTAAACAATTTTTTTTTAAGATTTACTAAACTTACTGAATCTATTGAAATAAGACAACTATATAAAGAATAAGAATAAAAATGGTCGGTGTGGATTAGACTTGCCATTGTTTTTACAATGGTAATTCTACATGTATGTTACCCATGGTACATGTTACAATGGTAATTCTAACATGCATGTTAACCATGACCCGTATTATACAGGTCATGGTAAATCCATTATTCAACATATTTTTAAGTTTATTTCCACATGTTTTTTAAACTTTTTATACCGAAACCAAATGAGTATTTAAACATTGTTTTTTATGTTAATATGCTACGCTCTTGTTGAACTTCTTAAGTTTTTTACTAAACTTTGCTTAGGAAACGTCGCAAATAAAGTTAGTTTTAAAAGATAAGTATCTTTTATTTGAATATTAAATGACTGTTTTTTGATATAGATATGTTGAATACTAATCAATCGTTTGTTTACCGTCCATCTATAGTCAGTTATTTGGGTGGTCAAATAATTAGATGAGAAAATTTTAAGAGTTTAGTGACCAGGGTGGTCAATTGCTGTATACTTTTCTATACTATATTATTCTATTGGAAAAGCATGATTTGATAATTGTAGAGTAGAAAGGGAGCCTTTTCAGGCATAAGTGCGAAAGTTGTGGCTGATTGCTATGAGATACAATGGATAAGAGTGTCATTTCTTCTTATCGGATGCCAGATAAAGAAAATAAGCTTGTATATATAAGGAAACAAATAAAATGGAAAATCCGCAATCCTAACTAGCGGTGTACCGGATATAACATTTTAACATATACGGATACCGGATATCTTAAAATTTATATATATATATATATATATATATATATATATATATATATATATATATATATATATATATATATATATATATATATATATATATATATATATATATATATATATATATATATATATATATATATATATATATATATATATATATATATATATATAGAAATATATCCGGCATATCCGTATATGTCGGATATGCGGCATATCAGGATATCCTGGATTTATAAAATTATATTATTTTTCTCTGCAGCTAGGAAAACGAAATTATTGTAATTATCATTAAAGATAATTAAATAAACAACATGCTTTCGTTATAAATAAAAGCTCAATACTTTTGAACAAGTATGAACTAAGAACAACGAGTATTTTTATTGTCTTTATTTCAATGTAACAAAGTATTTGGATTCTAACAATGTTTACATTGAAAATTAACAATGCAACGTTAATTTCAATATAGCATTTATGCGCTATAAAATACTATCTATAAAATATAAATACAAGTGCATAATAGTTTTATATTTAAAGTCAGTTGTAAACACGCATAACTTTATATTTCAGACAATCTTAATAATGTTTTTATCTGGTCATTGTATAAATTAAATGATACAAGTGATGCGTATCCAAACTGTTATATCTGATTAAACATGGAGCTATGAAGGCTGGGCAAAAATATGGCACATAAGTAAGAGACGAGATTGTTTTGGAAACTTCTAAGCAGACTT